GAGGAGACATGATAGCCATGTATAAATATGTGAGAGGAAGCCACAGGAAGGAGGAGGGAGCAAGATTGTTTTCTGCTTCCCTGGAGACTAAGACGCAATGGGACAATGGCTTCAAACTACAAGAAAGGAGATTCCATCTGAACATGAGGAAGAACTTCCTGACTGTGAGAGCTGTTCAGCGGTGGAACTCTCTGCCCCGGAGTGTGGTGGAGGCTCCTTCTTTGGAGGCTTTTAAACAGAGGCTGGATGGCCATCTGTCAGGGGTGATTTGAATGCTATATTCCTGCTTCTTGGCAGAATAGGGTTGGACTGGATGGGCCATGAGGTCCCTTCCAACTCTTTGATTCTATGATTCTATGAATGGCCTCATATGCGTGACCGCATTATTGTGTATGAACCCACATGATCTCTTCAATCATCTGGAGAGGCCCTGCTCACACTCCCACCTCCTTTCAGGCGCGATTGGGTGAGACGAGGGAGAGGGCCTTCTTGGTGGTAGACCCCTGACTCTGGAACTCACTTCTCAGGGACATCAGACATGCCCCAACGTTGGTAGTCTTTAGGAGGAGCCTGAAAACGTGGATGTTCCCAGAATGAGGAGAACTCTCAGCAATATGCCCTCACAATGCACTTTAATACTCCCTTAGGATGGACTGTGTTCCCTCATTTCTCTCTAAAAAATCCTATCCCAGTTATATTTGACCTTGTTCACGTCAGCATATTTTCAATTTTAATCTATTACATTCGGCCCGGCCGTTTTAAAATTGTTTATATGTCACCATTGATTGTTTTTGTTTATGTGAATTATATGATTTATATTTTATTGATTGGTTATTGATGCTGTGTTTATTGATGTTTGTTTGATGTACCTTGGGCTCGGCCTCATGTAAGCTGTACCGAGTCCCTTGGGGAGATGGTAGCGGGGTACAAATAATGTTTATTATTATTATTATTATTATTATTATTATTTATTAACAAAATTAGAATGAGCTTTAGCTTTGTGTCATACTGAAATTTTTGTGCCGAGCCAAAGCAAAAGGGGAAGCTGCTTCAGGAGCATTTGGATCTCCTCTTTGAGGAACATCATCTCTATTTAATGACCATACCTCAATGCTATACCATCCTGGGATTTATAGTTTGGTGAGGCATCTGCACCCTTTGACAGAGAAGGCTCAAGACATTGGCAAAGTACAGCTCCCAGGATTCCATAGCATTGAAACAAGGCAATTAGAATGGATTCATGCTACAGATTAGATGCAGCCCAAGGTTTTCTTTTCCATTGCTAAAAAGTTTGGTGTTCCAACAGTTTTGTTTTTAAAGAAGGATTTCTAAGCAGGCAGCAACTTGACCATGGCGGGTCGATGCTGCTTGTGTTATTGGAACTCACAGCTGCATTTGACACAGTCGACCAAATCTTTTGACCCACCGCCTTGCTGCTGTTGGAGTCAGGGGGAGAGCTTTAAACTGGCTGTCCTCCTTTCTTCACAACCGTGGACAGAGAGTGGAGAGGGGAGGCCTGGTCTCTGAGAGGTCCCCTCTCTCTCTCTTGTGGGGTTCCTCCTCAGGGGGCCATTCTCTCCCCTCTGTTGTTTAACATCTCAATGCGACCACTTGCTCAGCTGGTTCGAGGTTTTGGGCTGGAGTGTTACCAGCACGCCGAGGACACTCAGCTGGTGCTGAAGATGGAAGGCTGACCGGACTCTGTACCCGATTGTTTCCATCGGTGCCTCGAGGCTGTGACTGAATGGCTGCGTGCCAGCAGGTTGAGGGTGAATCCAGCAAAGACGGAGATCCTATGGCTGGGTCGACCGGGCAGTGGGGACATCCAGCTGCCTACCCTGGATGGCGAAGCACTACACCCATCATCGTTGGTCAAGAGTCTGGGAGTCCTTTTGGACCCTCTGCTGACGATGGAGGCCCAGGTC